GTATATCATTATCTCTTAGTCTGAGCTACTCCAGAGTATGGTGTAACAAAATAATGTGATCCTGCTGCAAAGTTCTCCAGGAGCCTTTCTGTTGAATCTGAAGGCCTTTAGACTGGATGTTTAGTTTCTTTTCTGGAAACACTGACATGCAAATCTGTGCAACATTGCAGTGTGCTTGAATGACTGATGTCATGAATGCCTCCTCATGTGGTCTTACCTAATACTTACTTGAGGATTTTGGGGTACATCGCCTCTTTCTTAATCTCCCGGTGGTGTCTGAATAAGATGGGAAAAGTATAGTCAAATATGCTGTTGTGCTAAGAGTTTACATATGGCAACTATAGTGTAGTGCAGAGTACCAGTGGCTAGGACAAGTAGGAAAGTTTGCAGAAAATACTTACTGAGCAAAGGGGGAATTGACAGACCAACGACTCCAGAGTAGTTACACATTAGGAGGCTGAATTGAGGGTAATTTTTTGAAGGCTGGGAGGAATGGAAAGAAAGGGCTGTGGGCTACAGAGTGAATCACTAATGTTAGGTTTCTGGCAGGGGGAAGGGAGGAAGGGTTGGTTGTTCTGGTGCAGAAGGCTTTGGGAAAAGGCGCTGAGCCACCATGAGCACCTCTTCCTGATGAACATCTGTAGGACTCTGGAAAGTAAGGCTGTGCTTGTGGGACTGATCCCTTTTGTCTGAACAGCACAGCCATCTGCCTTTATGTTCTGTGTCCTTTCTTTGTGGCAGGAAATGTGATGTTGTCAGGCCAAGTGGAACCCATTCATGCAACTGAGCAACCTTCTCCTGTAAAGCACTAAATAATTTCTTATTCCAGTCACTACTGCACATTACAGCTACAAGAAGTTTCCATTTGAAGAACAGCGCTTCAGCAGACTTCCTCTTTCCACCCCTGAAGTTTTTGGGGGTATTTGCACAGGGTATAGGACTTAAAACCAGGAGATGAGTGGCATGGAATGACTCATGCTCAAAACCAGAAAGCATTTGACTTTGGAAAACTGACTTCAGTTCTAGCCCTTCCTCTTTAAAGTTTTATATTGCACGACCTTTTAAATGAAATGTCGAGCTTCCTTTTTAAATGACAGGATCTCTACAGTGTGACTATGAGAGTGATTCAAGAAGGTGTTTAGTAACTTTAGCAATCCCTGTGTTCATCCACTGACTTCAGTTCTCCTGACATCACTGGGTTCAAGTTCCTCATAGCATACTAATTCCATGCTTTGAATGAGTCTGCCTTCTCCAGCATGGAGAGCTTGTAGTACTATTGCCAGGTCCTGCACTTGGGTCACAGCAACCCCATGCAGCACTACGGGCTTGGGGAAGAGTGGCTGGAAAGCTGCCCGGCAGAGAAAGACCTGGGGGTGCTGGTTGGCAGCGGCTGAATATGAGCCAGCAGCGTGCCCAGGTGGCCAAGAAGGCCAACGGCATCCTGGCCTGCATCAGAAATAGTGTGGCCAGCAGGAGCAGGGAGGTGGTTGTTCCCCTGTACTGGGCACTGGTGAGGCCGCACCTCGAGTCCCGTGTTCAGTTTTGGGCCCCTCACTACGGGAAAGACCTTGAGTTGCTGCAACATGTCCAGAGAAGGGCAACCAAGCTGGTGAGGGGCCTGGAGCACAAGTCTTATGAGGAGCGGCTGAGGGAGCTGGGGCTGTTGAGTCTGGAGAAGAGGAGGCTGAGGGGAGACCTTATCGCTCCCTACAACTACCTGAAGGGGGGTGGTAGTGAGGTGGGTGTTGGTCTCTTCTGTCAGGTGGCTGGAGATAGGACGAGAGGAAATGGCCTCAAGTTGCGGTGAGGGAGATTTAGGTTGGATATTAGGAAAATTTTTTTTACTGAGAGGGTTGTCAGACATTGGAATAGGCTGCCCAGGAAAGTGGTTGAGTCACCATCCCTGGAGATACTAAAAAAGCGCGTAGATGGGGTACTCCAGAACATGGTTTAGTGGGCATTGATGATGGTTGGACTCGATGATCTTAAAGGTCTTTTCCAACCTAAATGATTCTATGATTCTATTATTGACATATTCTGAAACAGCCCTAACACCAGTGAGCATCAGTAGTTATGTGACTCCTGCAGTAACCAGTAACAGAAGTTTTTGAGGAATGTATGAGAAGGCCTATAACATGGCCATTTTATGTAACTTGTCACTAGATTGTTTCTCTCCAATAATTTTCTCTGTTGAAGGCCATCTGATTTCCGCTAAAGTCAGCTTCATATCCTGGAAGCGATCTTAGATTTCTTGTCACTTTAGACGTTCTAGCAACGGCTATACCACCCCCAAAAAAAGCCAAACCCCAAACAAGAAAACCCCACCCAACCAAAACCCCAAACCACTTTTATCCCATATTGCTGAGAAGAATATGCCCCATCTTTTCAGGCATGGATTTGACCACTGAGGTCCAGGCATGCATGCCCTTCAGGGTTTTCTATTTTATTGGTGTTCATTACATTCAGAAATGAAGTGCTATATGCTAGTTGGATTTTCATACAAGGCAGCATCTTGCCTGTTGCCATATCTATATCCCTCATTTTATTACCACCCCACCCCATTTTTTTTCTGTTTGTTGAAACGTTTTTCTGTTTGTTGAAACGTGCTTCAGAAATATATTATGCTTTTTAAATTTTCTGTGTTTCTGGAAGGTACCTGGGTAACTTCTTTTTTTCATTTTCTCTATGCCTATGGGGAGTTATGCATCTGCTAGAACTCCCTTATTTCAATACCTTTAGGCATCATAGCATCTTTAAAAAGATCTAGTATTTGGTAGCGAGGTAATAGCCAGCTCTATTCCCTGAACAGTAAAGTACCAATTTCAGATCCTTAAATATGTGATGAAGGTATTTGAATCTGTGAAACTCTCCAAGGCTGGGAGTAGTGTGCATGTGCACATACACATGTGTGTTTAAGTATAATATTTTTATATTAGAATGTCTTTGTATCATTCCATTTCTGTAATGAAGCATTTCATCCATTTCCTTTTTTAAAAGAAGGAAAAGTTCTTTTAAATTTGTTAATGCTATGAAAGGAAACAGTGTAGATTGGTGCTGCTGGTAATTTAACCCAATATTTACAGCAAGAATGCCTAAGGGTCTTTTGGTTTGGTTTGCATTTTGCTGGGTTTTTTAAAATATAAATCCTAAATGGTGGGGTGCTTGTGTCGTGTTTTTGTTTTGTTTTGTTTTTTAACACTTAAAAAAAATAACATATGTAGGCTTTGTGGGAAATGTGGTTAGAGATCTAGAAAACCATTTTTCCTGATTCCCTGTTTTTGTCTTGTTAATACTGTACAGTCAGTACAGAAGAAAAATAAACCTCTGCAAAATACAAAGTCACCAACCTAGTGTCAGAGACGAATTTATGAAAACACCCATTTTAGCTGCCTCATGTTTGAGTTATTAGTCTGTGGCCGTCAAGATCATATTCTCCAGACTGCATTCTTCATAAGCAGAAATACTGGCAGCCATGTGTTAAGTTATAAAAAGATAGCAGCTGATGTCAGGGCTTATTTCAGTGAGGAGCCATTTCAGAATACTGTACTAATTTTGAGCAGGTATACATAAACTAGAAATCTTCCCTTGACATGTAGCATTCAGTGTAAATTGATACATATCTGAATAATAGGGTAGAAAAAGCCCACTAAAAAAAAAAGAAAAAGAAAAAAAGATCTTTCAGCATTGTACATGATTCTTTATGCAAAACTAGGAGGAACCGAAAAACAGTTCAGTTTGGCCTGCGTTTTAGGGATTAGATTTGCTGGTATAAAATCCTCCTGTTCTGATGTTGGAAAGCTACCACAATTTGAATCAGAGCCTGAGCTAAGTTGAAAATATTAATAGAGGAGTGCCCAGCCTTTCTGTGCAAGTGATCTGTATATCACAAGCAGCCCTCCAAATGCATGAACTTTATGTGCGCAGAAACCTGTTCTCTCGTCACACTGTATGTGGATCAACAGCATGCTCAAATATATCTGTATCTGGATAGATAATTAATATTAAATTCCTCTTCATTTGGTTGACTATATTTAACAAAATTAATTTCATCCAATGAAAGGAGATTAATTTACATCAGTAATTTATTTTTCATGATGATTTTTTTAGTGGCCTCTGGGCTAGGTTCATTTGTTGGTTTCATGTACATGCACAATGTTTGTCTTAGGATTTGTTAAATTTAATTATGCTATTGAAATATCAGTTCTACAGTAAATCCATTCCTTCAGTTTTCATTAATTTCAGTTAAATCTAACAGCTTCATCCTGAAGTTCCTAGTACTATAATTTTTAAGAATTGCATATTTATGCAGTATTTATTTACAGTGCGAAGTTCTGTTTCTACAAATTTGGACTAATATCCAAGGACAGCAGAATTCTTTTTATTATGACTTTTGAAATTGTCTCAGATAGCTGAGCTATTATATGGATCTGAAAGAAACCCTAATTATATGCTTGAGATGATATATCTGTTTTAGTTGAGCATATGAATTGGATACAAATAACTTTTGCCATTTGCAGCTTTGTGACATCTTGCTGATAACTGAAGATAAAGATGTAAGTGATCTTAGATAAGTTGCCACTCTGTGTGTGTGATGCCAAGGGATAGACAATTTTTTTTCTACCACAATTAACGTTTTCTAATTGCTGCTGAGTCAGAAGTACAATTGATAGTTTTACTGATCGTGGAAACAATTGCTTAAAGCAGTTTATATGAAAGTGTTTTGGGGCAGAGACCCTGCTCTATCAGGAGCGTAAAGGCATCATGTCTGGTAAATGTTCTGCTACTTTATTGTGCAAGCTAGTAAGATTTTAACACACATATAATGTTAGTGTTGTGTTCTGATAAATTGAAACTCAGTTCTTAAGTTGGAGCCCAAAGTGCTTTCTATCCAGAACTCCCACATGTGAAGTCAAATGGGTGTTTGTCTTAAAATAGCTAATGGTGTGATGATATTAGATGGATTCATATCTAAGATTTTTTTGTTTGTTTGTTTGTTTCAGGACATCAGGCATGAAGCCAGTGATTTTCCATGTAAAGTGGCCAAACATCCCCGAAACAAAAATAGAAATAGGTACAGAGATGTCAGCCCCTGTAAGTACACTTTCTTTTCCATTGTTTGTAACAGACTGTTGACCTCTAACGACTTCTTCTAGCAGCTAAATGTTCTTTGTAAGAACAAGATTTCTGTTAGATGGATATGTATCCAAGACAATCCTTTTTGTTAATATATGTAGCTATGACAGATGTCACGGGATGCCATTACATCCATAGGATTATACTAGAGCAGCATACAGTAGGTTCTGTATTTGTGGGAGAAATCTGAAGAAAGGAAATTGCTTTACCTTTGAATTCTTATGCTACAGAAGAATGGTGACCGAAATAGCATTAATAAAATTGCAAGTATCCTTTCTATTGCAGTATACTTACTAGACCATCCTTCCAGTCAACTAGCGTAACTGTGCCCCTACTGGGAGATGGGGGAAGAGTCTTGCATAAAACATATGACTACTAGAAATAAGTCCTAAGCTAATTGGAACAGAGAGAAGGAGAAGTTTGCAAAGGTGGTAATACTAGCATGAGACCTGTGTTTCTGAAATGATTATTATTACGTATTCTGGTGAGTTCTGGTGGGAAGTGCATCTTTGAGCATGTGTCCTCTGTACAAGGCACAGCTCAGTTCAGTGTTGCAGCCTGTCTTTCCTTCCACGATCCCATGTACAAAGACAGTAACATTCAGACTTGCCTATGCCTGGCATGCTGTACTTTTGGGGTGCAAAAGAGACTGCAACAACGAAAACACACAGAGTGCAGAGAAGTACAGGACTGTATTTAAATGGCTGGCAAATAATACTTGACGTATCAGACACTAAAGAAAGTTCACAGCTGGTTTGCTAAACTGCCTTCTCTGCACTAAATGACAATGCCTATTCTGGGACTACTTTGCCCCTTCAAGGGTGCAGTGCTGCTGCCTGTTTTAAATGCACATTTTCTATAGGCTCTGTCACTGGGCAAATGTCTATCTTCTGTTCAAAGACAAGGTTATTATTGTATATAGGAAAAATTTTATACTTAGCGGTTAAATGTTACTGAACTCTTTGGGGCAGTCGACTAGGAACAATACTGTTGCACATAGGTTGCTTTACTAAGAAGTTCTAATATTTGGGGCTGCGAGTAACAAATGGTCCCTTTTTGCCTGTAGATAATACTGCTTCCAGTCTGTTTGGCTTTCTTGCAAAATGTAGGAACTCTTCTATGTGTTTTTTTGTTGGTGGTTTGGTTTTTTTAATCCTACGTGGAGCTAGCTGAGACTAACAAAAGAGCAATGAAATTATGTTTGCTGTAATTCTTGAATTTTGATCATTCTTTCTGTACATTAGGGTGTGGTTGGGTTGGGAAAAGTAGCTAAATGTCTATAAGAATAATAAGAAGTCTCTGTTCTCATGTTTAGGCAAACCTTTAACAACCTTGAACAGGCTGGGTTTGAGTGTTTAAGCTGCAAAAGATAAGCAGTTGTGTAATTAGATTTATTTAAAAACAGTAACTCGATGACTGTACAAATAGGTCAGTGTGATCTGGTTTGCAAATTACTGTTGTGATTACTTGAGATGCAAATACTTCCATTCTTGCAATGTATCTTTGGAAGATGGAGTGCAACTTATGTTCACTGCTCTGCTGTAGTGCTGTTCATGCAGTACCTATATTGTATTTCCAGAGTTACAAGCACCGGCAAGCACTTCTGTACTACCTGCGATTAAGCTCTTTTCATTCTTCAGGACAACTCAGCTTTTTTGATCCTAACATCTGATGAGGTTGTGCATGGATCGTGCTGTGTTGCATATACATTAACCAGTGTTTTCTAATTATGCTGCAGTTGATCACAGTCGAATTAAGCTAAACCAAGGTGACAATGACTATATCAATGCTAGTTTGATAAAAATGGAAGAGGCCCAAAGGAGCTACATCCTTACCCAGGTAATTGCTGGCAGTGGATAATAAAAATCATATGGTGATTGCAGTTGTTTTTCATGGGTTTTCTTTATTGTAAAACTAATTAAGTGTATATACAACATCTGTGTGTATATATAAGCACATACATAGAACAGTTTTACAGAAATGCTACATATTTCTTCCTGCTTCCTGTCAGCACTGACTGACTTTTTGTAGAGTATTTTGGCCGCTTTGCATATTTGACTTTAGACCCACCTAGGCTAGAAGCTAACATACTTCTAGAAATCTGCTTGTTGGCATATGACGAGCAACATTTAGATGTGGTTGAAATGAATCACGCTTCTACATGGAAGGTCAGCACAAAGGCTTCAGACCACTAGTCTTAAGTTGCTTGATAAATTCTCTGAATGGAGGTGAACCTCGCTTAATGGGAGGGCTTCACATTTACAGAACTGTATGTATGTACTTAAAGATGTTCAAAACCTATTTGAAATAACATACTTTAAATATAATGGGCGTTTATGTGTTGAGTGGGGCAGAAGTTAACTAAAATATATTAGGGAATTTCTTGCACCTGATGTTCTGTTTCAAATAAGCATATGTTCTACCACGTATTTCTTCTTAAACATCCTTCTGAAAGTGATGTTATTGTAGTATTTACAAATAACGTACCTCCTAATAACACGGTTATTGTATATTGGAAAACTTTTATACTTAGTGGTTAAACATTACTAAGTGTTTGGGGCAGTCGACTAGGAACAATACTGTTGCACATAGACCTTCCAACCTTAAACATCCAAGGATGTTTAAGACCTTCCAAAAGGTCTAAGTTGGGCAATGCTGATGCTTCTACCTTTAATGTGAGAGAGGAAAGCTATGAATACATTTTTTAGTGATGGGAATTCGGGGGGCGGGAGGGAAGTGGCTGTTTTTCACTGAATCTGTGAATTCCACACCTATCTATATAACAAATTTAAAAATATCCGGATACCCTGTTGTCTTATTCTAAGAGCTAGCAGCTGTGCCAGAATTCTTGTTTGTCCTAAATGTTCAGTTCCCTGGAGACAGTCCTGGTCTCTAATCTTGACTTTTTCTTTAGCCCTTCCTCCCACACTTTAGATAAAGGTAGACTGGGATTAATATTTTCAAGCTGCAGCTCTTCCTTCCTGTTTCTAGTGAATAAAGATAAATCTTTGAAGGAAGAAGTGTACAGTACAGTGTTTAATATGAAAATGACTGTGTGCCCACAGCTCTTACTCCACTTATTCAGGACAGGGGAAGTTGATCATAGGGTTGTACTGGTATGTAGAATAGTCAAATGTGCAGCTAACTGGTACTAGTTATCTTTTCTGATCCAGAATTTAATGGATTCAAGTGGCTTTATTAAATCCAGTCATTCTTTCTGAGGACCCTGGCCTGCTGTTCTGTTTGAGCAAAGTGATGGATAGCAAATATGAGAGGCACAATGATGCTGGTTTGTGTTGCCCAAAATTCAGAGCAATGGTTTTGGAGTAGAAAAAAGCAAAGGAACATAGCACAAACAGAAAGTTGTGAGGAAATCTACTTTGTGAATAGACAGTAGCCTTTAAAAGGAGTTATTTTGTTCAGTCCCAAAGCAGATCCACGAAGATTCTGGAAACTCATATAATTTGTTACTGATCTGGCATTGTTTCAGTCTTTTGAATGTTTGTCCATTCAGTCTAAAAATTTTCAAATATTACGAATAACAATGATGTATTGCAGAATAGTTTAACACAGATGTTAATTCTGCTTTTAGTTAGTCAGTGAGGTTTTATTTCCCCATTACTTTTGTATACCTTTCCTAAGAAAATTCTCTCAGCGTTTTTCACTCCCAGTTCTCTTCTTGCAAATGAGACTACTTCTCTCTTCCTGTTATGTGTGTGGGGAAAAGATTAACCGTGCTTTCATGGGTAAATTCATAGTGGGAAAATGGAACTTAAGCTGTATCACTGCATTTTTTTACAGTTTTAAATGAGAAGTTGCTTGTTACTTGTCTAAATTTATTGCCTAGTGCAGTAACTTTTACTGGGGAACATTGCACTGACATTAACAGAAAATAATGCTTATTTCTGGGGATTCTGTCTCTGCAGGGACCTTTGCCAAATACTTGTGGTCACTTTTGGGAGATGGTTTGGGAACAGAAAAGCCGTGGTGTTGTCATGTTGAACAGAGTGATGGAAAAGGGATCCGTAAGTACTTGCCCAGTTCTAGCTATGTGTTCATTGCATGTTTATGGCTTTTCTTTAAAAAAAACCACAAAAAAAACCAAAACCCCAAAACAAAAAAAACAACCCAAAGAATGGGGAGGGGAGGAGATGACCATAAGTAATTTCATCTAAGAAATTATACCTAGAATTGAACACCTGGTGAACTGATCTTAGTACAGTCAGAATATTATTCAGTTTGTAATTGTAGGTCCTAATTTCTTCTGAATTTGGCTGAAATAAGGCATGAACACAATATGGCTCCACACAAATGAATATTTGGTCTCTACTGCTAACCTAGGTATCTGAATATAGTTCTTTTCAGTGTACACAGATTGCACCTCTCAAAGGTCATTTACACCAAGCGTTCATTCACAAGCATTATGAAGTGGGTTTGAAGTAGTTAGGCACTTTGACTCCAGGTTTCCTTCACACAATAAGAGCTCTGATTATTAAATGTACCACCAAGGCCCATTGTTTCTCCACCAGTATCATTGTTTTACAAAATTCATTAGAGGTCTGACAAGAATGGAGGTACATTGAAAGTACTTCACCTGGCATCTGTCTTAAGCAATGATGTTCTGGGTGATGTGGAACGAGCTGTTAAACCAGCACTTTACTTCCTAGGACAAGTGTGGTGAGCTAAGTTCTGTCCAGACCTTTTAGGAGGTTTACATTAGACAAGACAGGCAGAAGATGAAGGGAAACAATAGAAGAACAAACAATTGGGGTTATTTTAAGTAATTTATCTTTGGATTGATAAAAAGTTTTGGTTCCTCTGGCACATGGAGTAGCTGCTGTCTTGAGAGGAAATGCTTCAGCCTTTCTGATGGTGGAGAAGACAGGAACCATCAGGCATGGTTTATATCCATGGGTCAGAGTTCTGCCTCTATCTAATTCCACAGCTGCCATCCTTAAAGTGGACTTGGCAGCTGTGCAAATTTGAGACAAAAGCGATTTTAAAGACTGATAGAAATGCACAGTCTAAAGTTGAATGTTACAGTGCAGTCAGTATAAAGACACTTTGGAGGATGGGTAGCGGGTATGTTGGGTATCCACCAGTGATAACTGGGTGGTACATGGTGTTGCGTAATCGGGAAAGAATTCCCAATAATCAGGAAAGTTCTTGTGCAATGAGTTGTGTTTTAATAAACTGCAGTCTTGATTTTTGAGTGTTTTGCTTTTTTTGCAGTGCAAGTGAAATTTAATCTTTAAAAGAGATGCAGTAACCATATTTTTCAATAGTTTCTTCCCTTCCAACCATTCCCGCTCATTCTCTGCACTGCCAATAGTTTCGAACGAAATGAATTATTGTGATCCCTTAGGGCAGGCTGCTTACACTTCTCAGCAAGCAGCAATGGGGGAGCTACAGTGGAACACAACAAAATATTGTTTGCAGACACATTTGGTGGAGAAATTAGACCCAAAGCCAGTTGCTGTCTCTTTAATAATAATTTTTTTTAAAAGTGCAGAGAATTATAACTGCATTTTACACCCTTATAAACTAGAGGATGTATTTTGAATAAAAACTAGAATTGGTCTGGGCAAAACTAGTGTTAGTCTACCTATGAATAAAGTACTGAAGGGTTTTCTTATTTATTAAAATGCTGTCAGAAATCATCTTAGTCTTGAGAATGCTGTTCTTTTTTCATTGTTTTTCAACTTTAAAGCTATATTATTTGGTCTTTAATAAAAGAGGCATTAGCCGTGTCCAACAATCCATTCTTATTGCATGCTTAGGTATGGGCATATGGTGGTCATAATCCCATTTTAGAGGAGCAGTGCTTAGTGCCAGAAGTAGCAGGCCAGTTCTCCCAGTCACAATATCCTTAGATTCAACAGTCAGAAACGTGGTTGCAGACTTTCCTATTCATGTTGCTGACAAGTTTCTTTAGTTTCAGTTTCTTCATGCACACTGCAAAATGCGCTGCTTTTCTATTTGGTTGACTCATTTAAGGTTCTAGCATGTAGCAGTCTTTGTAAAACTGAGCTCTCTGGGAAACTTTCTTGAGAAAATTGAAATTCAGTCAGAAGTAGGTAATGAGAATGTTTGCTGAATGCAGGGGTTTTTTTTGTTTGGCTCTACTTTTAAACTGTGCCATGTAAAATCAAAATTATCTTGCTGCTCTTTTCATTTTTGTGGTGAGTGAATGGAGTAACCCAAAATCTCATCTGATGTTACACTTGCAAATTAGCAATGTTGTCATTCTCTGTATGTAGCTTATTTGTGGAATTCATAATACTTTTTCACAGAATGTTCTGCTCATGTTAACATCTATCTCTTCTTTTGAAATTTAAATATTTGACATGAGGATAATAAAATGCAGAGTAGACTAAAAGTCAGATTTTGGCAGAGTGTTGCAAGAGCTTTTATACTTAGAAAGTTATTAGAGTTTGTTTGTTTGTTTGTTCATTATTTTTGGTCTGACACAAGCTAAGGTAAATAATGGCTTTGGTGATTTCGATGAGATTCTATAGCTTCACAGTCTTTCATCTTACATGTAGAAGAAAGAGAGGTCTACCTAAATGAAGTTATCCTCAATCCTTAGGTATTTTCATAAGTTCAGTCAGGGTCAAAATAATTTGACTTATACAAAAGATTCACTGAAGATGTGGTTCTGCAACATGAAGGAAGACTGATACTCTTCACACTAGTATTGCTCCTCCTTATAATAAAAGCAGATGAAGATCATAAGAAAATGTTGTATTTAAGAATGTTTATTCCTTGCCTTTTACACAAACATAAATGGCATAAATGTCTCCTATTTGTTTTTAGATAAAGTGTGCACAGTACTGGCCACGGAAGGAGGAGAAAGAAATGTTTTTTGAAGATACAAACTTGAAACTAACGTTGATATCTGAAGATATAAAATCATATTACACAGTACGACAGCTAGAATTGGAAAACGTTACAGTAAGTACAGCAACTAGTACCAATCAGATTCTTCAGTCTCTCTGAGGTGATTCACCTCCTCATCAACAAGGTCTTGAAAAAGATGGTCACAAATTAATAGTAGACTTTGTTCTGGAATTGGTGATTCTGCATGAGATTGTTCTTCAGCCTCTAGTGTGTTGTGGAAATGAAACTCTTAAATATTTATGAAACCTCTCTAGGGAAACTACAATTGTTTTCATGTCTCAGCTGTACACTGAGTGAGAAGGTTAGTTTGTCACTACCTTTCAGAGAACCCTTTATAAAATCACTTAACAGATGGTCTAGTGCTTTTGTGTTAAGGCTGAAATAATTGCTTTTCCTGTCACTTAAGCTACCTGTTTGCCTGTGTCTTGTTCTAAGGTTTATTTTTAGGTTTTGGTTTAAATCTTCAGGTTTTGCATTGATGGCCTTCATCAGAAAGCAGGAACTGTTGTAGCCCTGGTCCTGCAATGAGCTGTATGGAGCTCGATACAAGGATCAGGCCACTAGCTGTAAGAGAAATAACTCTTCTTTTTCTTCTTTTCTTTTTCTTTTTTCTTTTTCTTGTTTTTTTTTCCTTTTTTCTTTTTTCCTTGTTTCTTTTTTCTCTTTTTTTTTGTTTTTTTTTCTTTTTATTTTTCCTTTTGCACAATACCAAAATAAAAATATACATGCTCTTTCCCACCCTTCTTCTCCTCTTCAACATTGCCCTGTATTAGAGCAGTGAGGGCTAATCTAAAGCTCCTTGGGGAGACTGGCTAAGGAAGAATACCATTAACTTTCGCTGAATACAGATCACTGAAGATAAGGTCCTGGTGCTGAGCTAGGTGTGTATGTTGCAACATGCTAGCCTGAGTTCTGTTCTGTCCTGGTACTGCTCACTACTAGAAGACACAGTTTTTCCTTTGCTCATCTATTAGCATCTTGCATGCTTCATCCTGCCAGGAAATGTGAGACAGCAGATATGAGTTTGTCTAAATTCTACCTGAGTAAGAATTCAGTTGATGTAGTTTGTGGTGTGTATTCACTATGACATCTGCCATAGACATGTTTGATGGTTGTAGCTCAGTATTCTAGGAGGATGTGACTACCAGCGGTTTAGTAGTTTTGAAGAAAGTATTCAGGTTGGGAACAAATGTGTAAAGGAACAACTGTGATAGTGTAAGGGATTTGTATGGAGAAAGTGTAAACGGCTTCTATAACTTGAGGTACTTCATTTTGAGAGATCTTCAAATGATATTCTGTCATTAGAAATTGGAAGGCAGTAGTGCCAGCTATCTCGTGGCGATACAAGCATTTGAACTGTACTGAAAAAACTAAACCATGTTATAAATAAGTAAATTTACTTATCCAGTTCCCTTTGCTCAAAATGGGAGACCTTCACAACAAGAGAAAACACAAGAAGTAATTCTTTGTAGTTAGTTTGTTAGCTATGCAGCTGTAAAAACTCCCTCGGACTGATGGAACTTTGTCATTTGAATTTAAGTCAGCTGTTCTAAAGATGTAGTGGAAGCAGTGTAGTCTGAGTAGCATACAAAGCTGAACAGGCACATGCCTCCATTCCATATAAATCAGAGTTATTTTCAAATGAAGTAGCTGAAATTTTACCCAAGGCACAGATTTGAAATTGACCTAAAGGTAAAAATGTCTAATGTCTAAAGCTGTATGTCTAAATATTTAAGTGACTATTTGCTAGGAAAATGAACGCAGAATTGTGTTTGCTGATGGGAACATTGTTGTAGGCAGCTGTGCTTTGAATACTTCTGAGTCGTGTATCCAAGCTAAAAGACTTCCTAAATACTGTTTTTACAGACACAGGAAACTAGAGAGATTCTGCACTTTCATTATACTACGTGGCCTGACTTTGGCGTCCCAGAGTCACCTGCTTCATTCCTCAATTTCCTGTTCAAAGTGAGAGAGTCTGGCTCACTTAACCCTGAGCATGGACCCGTTGTGGTGCACTGCAGCGCAGGAATTGGGAGATCAGGAACTTTTTGTTTGGTTGATACATGTCTTCTACTGGTAAGAACTACTTATTCTAGGTGATACGCTATTTCCGTAGAGTTATTTTGAGGAATGATTTGCTGTAGGCTTACTAAGAGCTGTGGTATGTTCTGTGAAGTATTGTTGCACACTGTTTCCCATTATCTTACTCATATTCTGGTTTGGGAGTGTATTCCAAGGCAGATCTCGTTCTTAACTGGCCATTTTGAGTCTGGAGAAAAGTCTTTAGAGAGATTTGCAAAGATAGGCTTCGCCCTCATGGTTAAGAAAAAAGAAAAAAACCCACTAGATGTCTGCTAAGTAGTAGTGTGAACTATCCTGAAACAATGCAAAATAAATGTAATGTGTTTCCTTTTAGAGAGACAACTTTGCCTGTAGGCAGAAGGAAATTGTCCTGACTTTAAGATAAAACTGGAGTTCCCTTGGCTTTATTCTGTCACTGTGAGAGCAGCTAATACAAAGAAGTCAGGCCTAAGTTAAAATGTTCTGTCCCCCACAAATTGTATTTTCAAAACAAAAAAGACAAAAAGGGGAAAATGGACAACATTTTGGAGGCCCAGTGTGTTTTGCCCTCTCTGTCTTTTTAGAGACCCAATAAATAGCTGCCAATACCAGTTTTTTATTAGTTTATTAATTCTGTAATATGGAGGGTAGTCTGAAGGCCCTACTACAAAATGAGTCATTGTAGTGAATCTCATCAGAGCATAAAGCATGTTTTAATTTTTTATCTTCAGATGGACAAACGGAAAGATCCTTCTTCTGTGGACGTTAGACAGGTTCTCCTCGAAATGAGGAAGTACAGAATGGGACTTATACAGACAGCCGATCAGCTCCGTTTCTCCTACTTAGCTGTTATTGAAGGGGCAAAATTCATTATGGGAGATGCTTCAGTGCAAGTGAGTACTATTGACTGCACAGCCTAAGGTAGTGAGCTGCAACTCTGTTTTAACTGTAGCAAATATGTGGGATGAACAGAATAGAAAGAAACTTTACATTTCATGCTTGCTTTGTCTTCAATAAATTTTTATATTATGGGGTTCTTAAATACAATGCTTTATGATCTGTCACGACCTAAAGTGTTGTATATAAGAACCTTCAAAAAAGTACCTGTAGTATAACAGGTGGCCTTGTGTACTTTTCAACACTGTAATTGGGGTGTAGACTGGCTGCATCGCCCTTGTCTTTCATTTCAGATAATAAAAATTTTCTAATATGCCAGAAGTTTAAGTATTATGATTAAATCCTGTAAGTTTGTTTTATGGTAAGCAGAACTCTAGCAACACAGATTCTATTTTGTGCTATTTATGTTTTCCAGAATTAGATTAAAATCTCTTGCATTTATAGCTGTTGTCTTCTGTGTACCGGATGTAGCTTAGGTTTGGAGTTCTTGTGTCTGTTTTTTCTTTCCTTTTTTTTCAACGCAAATGAACAGCCACTCTAAGAATAAATGAAAAGGTAGAGTATAAAGACCCTGCCATGTTAAAAGTTATAGTAGCTTACGTAAAAGAAATAGAAAAAAGCTTAATAGGGCTTTTCCTTCCCTGAAGGAACAGTGGAAAGAGCTCTCCAATGAAGACCTGGACCCACCACCTGAACATACCCCACCACCTCCCAGACCACCAAAGCGAACCTCAGAAATGCACAATGGAAGGATGCATGAACACACAGAATTCTTTCCTAAACATCAAGTAGTAGAGGAAGAGATTAGATGTTCGGTCAGCACTGCGGAAGAGATGGTTCCAGATGGCAGAGCTCGTTCATCTGTGCCACTGATTGCAGACAGGTAATTCATTTAGTTTCACACTTTTAACTGTCTCAAGAAAACTGTCCAGTTGGCTTACAGCGTTGAGAGGGTAGGACGTTTGCTCATAAATGGTATTTTATCCAGAAGGACCTGAGCTGACCTTGATCAAGTTAGTCTAATAGTAGTTCCAATGCAAAATCTTTTCAGTAAAGGTCTTACATGCATGTTTGTTTAACTTTGTGGATAAGCTAGGGCCTCTTACGGGATCCTGCTGGAGTAAAAGAAAAAGTGACGGCGTAATGAGGTGGTTTAGTCTTGATTTACATGCAGTATATGTTAAGTTACAGTGGAGCTCTTTCACTGCTTAGAGGCGGTACTAGCCATGTAGCTGAAAACTAGGCTGACTAGCTTTGGCTGCACTTAGAAATGTGAAATTAATTGTAAGCAATGCTACTTGCGATGAAAGGAGTAGAGGGGGCTCATGAACAGAGAACTTTTCTACCTGTCATTGTAATCTAAACTGTAAGGACTAATAAATGTGCAGAAATGCTGTGTACACGAGCAGTAGAACAGCAGAGGAGCCAAGGTTCCTGCCTGCTTAACCACTAGATGTCACTCCTGATTTATTGGAGTGGCATGGGACTGGTTGAAATCCGAATGCCTTGGTGTTGCTGGCATTCTGCATGTTAACTAGTTTTATTCAGAACAACCAAATGAATGCCACACAGAACAAAAAAAAAATCAAAATTTAAAAAATAAAAATAAAACCCCCTACACCCACCAGGGATGATCAAGGGAAAGTTTAGTGTTCCCCCACTAGATGGTCTCATAACAAGACATCTTCATGTTCCCATAGGAATATTGGAATAAAATACCAAGTTTTAGTATTTTCCACAGAATTAAAGCCTTTTCAACAGATGCAGCTGGCAGGCTTGATGTATTTTATTTAGCTGAACCAGTGGGGGAGTGTGTGACTCTGGGAACTGGAGATTAGTGAGATGTGTTTCCAATAGTCTTTCTTCAGAACAAACCTCCTTTTAATTCCACATAGCGGAGAGGCTGACACCATGAGCTGAACCTGTTGTGTCCCTCCAAATTCTGCTGGAGGCAAGGAGATAAAACGGAAGTGTTTCCCTGCTCAACATGAAACAATGTTTTGATCAGGATTTTTCTTAATTCATTGGGGAGATTCTGGAAGTGAAATACTCAAATTCGAAACATCTTTACTAAGAAGAAAGGAAATCTTGGAAATAGGAATAGACACAGATGGAGGCTTAGCTACAAAAGAAGAAAATATTGCAACGGTAGCACCTCCCTCTTTCTTCCCTCGGTGACAGTATAGTTCTGTTACCAGAATATTTGCCTGGGATGTGAGATGGCAGCTAATGCTTTCCACGCCTAATGAAAAGCATGGATTTGAAGCTGGTGTCTTGTGTCTTCTCATTAGCTATATAAATTTGAATTTCTCAGTGAGTAAATGATTTCCTGGAAATACTGTACACAGTTTAGTGTAAATGAACATAAGACATGTCCAGCTCTAAAGAGCTCAGACTCAGATTCATTTCATTTATTATAGTCCCTTGTCTGAGGTTGGAGTTAGGTTATCCTCTGGAACTGCCCATCTTAATTGATTGTAGAGGCTGGCTTGGACCAGGCAGCTACCTTTTACCTTGCTAAAGTCAAATCCTATGTTACGCGATATTTCAGGCATACTAGGAAAGGCCAGGATTTGGATCCTGAGCTCCCTCGTTCTGTACCAGTACTGTTGCTGCAGGATCAGGCCTCCTTTGTGATCATCGCTCTTGTCCTCATGTCTGCGACAGTCAATCTAGAAGGGGGAAAGTGAAACTTGCTAGACAGGAGTGGGAAGGAGTAGAGAGTAGAGAAGCAGTCTGATGTGAAAGGATGTGGGACAGTGTGAGGCTGGAGGAAGTGGAGGGGTGGGAAATAGACATTGTGCTGGCAGAGGCAAGGGAAGAAGAAGCAGAATTCTTAAGCACGTGTATTTTCCTGCCCAGATACTGTAGTGTCTGGGATGGAAGGTTCCTGAGTTCTTCTAAACTTAAGCTGTCAGCAGACATCTAGGAAATCCCCCTGCAAAGCATCTCCCTGCTGGTTACCACCCCACTGGTTCTCACAGCATGGTCATGCTTTCTAAATTCAGCTGGAAGGAGTTGTACAGGAGATATAAAAGTTCCTGCTCAGTTAAGAAGCCTCTTTGGGTGTCAACATACTGCCAATGGGATGGCGGTCTAGTATCTAGGAACAGAACCATGTTTAGAGAGTATTAAAGGTGAGGACATCTTCAGTTCCATCGTTAAAAGCTATCACAATGCATTTAGCCACTCTAACTTATGGCTGCATGAGCAACCACAGTTCCATCATTTTCTGACTTTTGGGGCAGATGCTGGATTTTAGAACCTTAATATTCTCTTGACCTGGATGTAGGTTTGATTGGTGCTAGTTCACTACCTGTCTCAGTGCAGGTAGCACATTTGTGATAAGAAATGGGAGTAGGTGGTGTTTAAAACTAAGTCAGCTTATTCTTCAAAGGGCACAAAATATTCCCAAGCATGGCTTTTCATGACAAACATGTGCTGTTCTAAACCTGTAATTTAATGGCCAGAACTGTAAGAATTAGTAATAGGCTTTAGTTTGTCATCTGCTGCAGTTCCTGATAGCAAGAGATTTGCAGCTCTGTCTGTGGTGTTCAGTGGGTGAGGCTGTGCTCTTGGAGAGTCTGCATGGCTTCTCTCCTAAATGGAGAATCCAGTACTGAATATTTATGTCTTTGTCCTTAAGCACTAGTCAAGACACTGAAATTCGGAGGAGAACTGTTGGTGAAAATCTGCGTCTCTCACCCCACAAAGAAGAGTCGGTGAAGTCAGAAAACTCAGAAGAGGATGATGAGAACATGATAACAACTTGGAAGCCATTTCTAGTGAATATATGCATGTTCACTTTCCTCACGGCAGGAGCTTATCTCTGTTACAGGGTGTGTTTTCATTGATGGACATGCCAACAAGATCGACCCTGCAGAAAACACCAACGATTTGATCGGTTTGTAATAAGCTTCTCTGAAAGAAAGCTAATTGAGGCATGTGAGCCTTGTCTCAGTGGAGGTAGATCTTAGGTTGAAAGGCCAGAACTTCGGTTAGGGCTTAAAGAGAGAATTGATGCACTAGGGTTTTATCTAGCCCTGTGGTCCCAAGAACATAATATTCTAATCTCAGGGCCTTAAAATATTCAGGAGTAAGCAGAGAAAATGCCAAATAGTCTGTTTTCCTTTTTTTCTTTTTTTTTTTAAACTAAATAATAGAATTACAACACATTGTTGTTTTTAGCCTTTTTTAAAAAGCCAGTTCTTCTTCTTTTGTGTTTCAGAAAAACTAGGCACAAGTGAAACTTGCTTGTACTCTCCAAGTGTTGTAACCAAATACATGACTTATATTGATGAGGTCCCAAAAAAAGAGAAAGAAACCCACATACCTGAAGAATGTAAACTTTTTGGAAGAGACGGTGTTGGAGGAGGGGTGTTTGTGGTTGGTTTTTTGTTTTGGGTTGTTTTTTTTTTTTTAAACTTGCTTCATCATTAAAGACTGAGTTGTGGGCAGTGCCTGTGGTATTGATATATTTAATCTTGGCATAACTGTTCTTAAAGAGCTTATTGTTTTACATGTGTTTATAGAAACAGGCTTCTGCATTTGCTCAGGGTATCCCAACATGTCAAGCTCTTTTCTTTTGTTTCTTTTTTTTTTCCTTTTTTCTTTTGTTTTTAGTAAGTGTATCTCCTCATTGACTTTTGTTGCACTCTACTTGCACATATGCCTATTTACATTGCACCATCCTTTGTAAAGCTGTTTTTACCTTTGTATTCTGGGTTAGGAGAGGATGAGGGGAGAGGGAGACACAGGAAGGGAAATTCAACCAAAACATGTCCACCAGCATTTTGCAGCTGTGCAGCTGGCATTCAGAAGGACTAGTTCGTAAACCTCATCATTTGGAATGTAAAATGCAGTTTCACTCTACATCTGCTCCGTAAGAAATAGCACGCTTCCTGCAAGGGCCAGAGAGGTAACATACTCAGAGGCATTGCAGGCAATGAACAGGAAAGCATTTCAATAAATCCAGAGCAATTAATGCTGTGGCAGCTTCCTTAAGATGTAAAAAGTTTAACAGCAGACATGTTGGTCTGTGAACGTATCAGTTGGCTTATGATGCAAGCGTTTGTGTGTTCTGCTTTTTTTAAAGCAAAGATTTAAAATACTGGCTTTAGTTTGGCTTGAAGATACGCTCTTCGGTAATTATCGGACATGGTGGTGTAAGAGGGTAGGTCTTGCACCTCTGCCGACAGGGTTGTTGCTATCCTAAGGTAAGCTAAGGGAGATGGGTGGTCTTGTCCTATGCCACGCTGTGTCTACGTTGTTTTGCTCAGTCGGTGGGCCCGTTCTGCAGGCCCGGGGCTTGGTAATGTAAAGTGCTTGTAAATAAGGATTTGGGTGCATTGGTAGAACTGTGACTGGATGTTGGCATTGCACTAAACAGTCTTAGTCAATGCCGTTCCTCTTGTTAGTACCAAATTATTAATAGTTTAAACAATAGCAGCAAAGATTTCTTTGCTCATGTCATGGTGCAGAGGATAGGAGTAAACTCACTACTGAAAGTTGTAGTGATTGAAACTAAACCATGACAGCTGATTTGCAACAGTGTTACTAGTCAGTTCTTGTTATTTTTAAAGGCTTTCTAGATTTATAGCACTTAATCACCATTCTCAGTGCAAACATCACTATGGAGTGAGTATCTTATGTAAGTCTCTCTCCACTCCATATTTATTTTTGCAGAGCTGTCTCTAGGTGTAGCTCTTTTCCTTCAGTGAATAAGTTGGTGAACTGGGCGGGGTGGGGGGAGTTATTTCTATTTTGTGTTTTGTTAAGCTTGCATCAAGGGCTTTTCAAAAGTACAATAATAAATCCTCAGGTAGTACTGGGAATCAATACTTTACCTGTGAGACTGTTGGTCAGACCAGTACTTGAAAGGAGGAATGTTGTAATCAGTCAATATTTAGTTATATTATTGGAAACATGAAAAATGAGTATAGAAAAATGGTAATATATAATGGCTCATCTGTGTATTTAAGATGCAGTATGTGATTGCTTTGTCCCCACTATCCTCTCCATCATCTGGTAGAATATTGTTCTAAGGCAACATTTGTACCCCATTTGTATTAGAATGCATGTAAAGTCTTCTAGTGTCCTGATTAAATACCATGTGCTTGAAAGGTGAAAGAACTTATATTTCTGCTTACTGATGTGCCCAAATTATATTTGCATGAACTGATCATTAAGTGGCTGTGGTTCAAAGGGTGTTGCTGAAAGTATCTTCGTTCAGCGATAGACTGATTTGGTGTTTATCAGATAACATGTACTCGCCTAATACTTGGCATGACTTCCTATTGAATTTCTGCGTACTCAGTGTAACCCGGTTGTTTAGCATGGTTCATTTCAGCTGAGTAAGTATAGTACAGACATTCCAGAGAGTTTCGTAAGCCATATTCACACCTCACCTCTGGTCACTTGAGGCAAGCAATAGCTCAGCGATTTCAGGGTATGACTTGCTGTGCTACCTTCAAAGCTGCACTGGAGGAGGGAGAGGAAAGCCTCTTCTGCAAGATCTCAACAGCATTCTTTGATCTGCAGGAATACAGGCTCCGGAAGCGGTGGCCCATTTTAAAACAAACAAACAAAAACCACCTCCATACTGTTCCCAAGAGGGAATATTTTAAATGGTAGGCTTGAGAGGAAAGCAAAGCATCCTTCCTTTTGAATCCAGAATAATTCACTTGCCAATGATTCTACCAAGAGCAAGTTTCTGCAGATGACAAAAAAGTTTTGAACATCCCCCTTTCTGCCCATGTATTTTGCCATTTCTTTCAGCTGTTACAAATCCAAACTTACTTACACTGTCCTGGGATAGACAGTGGAATAGCCCACAAGCCCAGGGAGGTGTGTCTAAGGCTTATAATACTGAACTGTAAACATTTTTGTTTTGATGTCCTGTATATGTATGTAGTAGTTTGGGTGTGTATATACAGTAGCGTTTCAAAGTGGGTGTATTGGTTAATCTATTCTTGGAAAATGGACAAACATCCATGTTAAACTTGTTAGAAAGTTAGTGAGCTGCTCTGCTATATGCCTTAAGCAAATATTTACTCATCAGGTCTTTCTTTTTTACAGATTGCCATAGAATAAACTTTTTTAAAAAAAATAAAAAAACAAAAAAGCTAAATGTTTTGGTATAATACATTTTCAGGTATCTTGTCTTTTGTGTAAGCCGCTGCAAAGACCTCACAGGTTATAGTAAAATTGTACAGTTTTTCAATTTCCCATACAAGTTTTCAGTTCTCATTTTAGTTGTAACAATAAAATTCTTTTTTTAAAGAACGTACATGAGAGTCTTATTGCTTCTTGTCTTCTCAGGGCTAGAGCCACTGGCTACTGTTTTGAACCACTTGCAGATTGGGACTAGCATGATGTTTGGTGGGGTTTTTTGTAGAGGAAAGTAACTTAAACGTTACTGTAAGAACTTCCTTGTAGGTCAGAGCTCCAGTAAAGGAGAAGCAGTGAAATAAATAAGTAGCCCATGTCTCCCCCTGACACATACATCTCCCTCCTCTAGTATTTCACTTTAGACAGTTAAATTTTAACTACCTTGGCTCAGGAAACAGTGTAATATAAAAAGTGTAGTAACTCTCAAGCACAAGAGGTTCAGTTGTGCCTTAACCCAAACCTGCATGTGGTAGGGATAGGGCAGCATACTTACAGCAGTCATCCAATTTCCATGTTGTTTAGATTAAAGTATTTACCTTTTTGTTTATATGTTTAAGGACAGCTACAAATGGAGAAGAGGTGCTTGCAAAGAGAATTTTCAGTAGTTTCATAAAGTGGTATTAAAACAGCTGCGGTGAGTTTTAATGCACTGCCCCTCAGAAACTGTCAGCACCTCATTCTTTGGGTTTAAAGCCCAGCTCAGGCAAAGTTGACTGAGCTGCCCTGTCTCTGACATGTCACTGGCTGTTTCCCTTTCCCCTTCTGGTGAAGGGGAAGAGTAGGGCAGAGAGGCCTGGGGAAGTAGAGGATTTACCAAAGTAGAAAAACTTCTTGCCCCTGCTTTTAAATGGATCTGTAAATTAAAAGCAGAGTTACAGCACAGATAAGCAGTGCATTAAGTTTTAATTTGTTCTACAACAGCATGACCTAAACACCATAGTCCTGCTATTCAGAGCTCATCAGTAAAGACTTCAAGTGTATAAGCAAGCTGCACATTTCCAGACTAAATCCCAAGAGCAGAACAGTAGCTCAGTCTGTTTCAATAGTATAAGCCTGAACCTTTCACAGACAGCATACAGAATGGGTGCATTACACACATACTGCATATCAAGCTAAGGTGCATGTCAATTAAGTATCTTAATTCCCTGTGGGGGTTTAATGCCTTACACTTGTCTGCAACACTACAAGCACATCAGTATGAAACACTTGCAGGAACTTGTCTCAAATGTTTTATTAGAATTTTAGAAAACAGTATGAAATCCAACAAATAAATACTGAATAGAAAAGTAATATATATGTAAAAAAAAAATATACACACACAAGCCAAACCCTTTCAAGTATTTCACCTGAAGCCAGGCTTCTCTTTATGGCTACCCTCCACTAAGTTACCCAAGTGTTGAGTAAGGAGCCTGACAATGGGTGTATGCTTATGAGAAGTCTTGATCTGTGACTAAATAAATTTAAAAACAACCAACCTCAACAACTTCTACAGAGTTGTCCGTATGTCAGTCAGACCTGCACATGGCAAATACAATACATACCTTCCTGTTGTAAACTGCAGAGGATATACACTCGGTACATACCCTTGTCAGTTCTTGCTTGAACCTATCTTAAGTTACAATGCTTATGAAGAAGTTGGCTTTTGAACTAACAGGCTTTCCTTCTGCAACTAAATTGTGCAAGAAAAGGAAACCAAGCAATGCCACTAGATTTTTTCTAATGTATGTGGCAGTTAATGTAAATGATCTGTTGTCTGCTAGTTTCTAGACAGACTGTTGGAGAGTGACCATTTCTCACCTCTTTGAGAAATGCCAAATTAATAAAATACTTTATGGGAAAATAGATCACGTTTGACTTACAGTTTGAGCAGGGGCAGATAATTCCAGTGAGATGGGGATTTTAGCTCAAGTGACAACCTGGTTCCATATTCTAAGAGATCCTAGTTTTTATTCATCCAGCACTTGATATTTCATCATGTGCTGAGACAATGAGAAAACGTATTCCAGTCTACTTAGTGTAGACTGCAAACTCTCCCCCCTTTGGAGATAAACCTGTACTCTGTCAGTATGCAGCACGTATATAGCAGGGCATAAGTAAACCAGACACTGATAAACAACAAAACAAAATCCTCACATGTGGCTGTGAGGACAAGTATGATTCAGCTCCTCATATTCCACTACTAAAATAC